GTGTGTGTGTGTGTGTGTGTGTGTGTGTGTTACTCTGTCTCCATGGGAATCCTGACTCGGTGGGAGGGGAGGAGAGCATCAATCAGACATTTAGTGTGTGTGTGTGTGTGTCTCTTTTCACAGACCATCACTCTGGTTTTAATAAAGCTCGGGCACAGAGGGGTGATGTGTCAGGGGCGGGGTGTGTGTGTTTGTTTGTCCATACATGCACTTTAGTGATATTTTTTGGTTTGTACAACCTCACACTCATTTACCATGTTCTCCATCCTTGGTGTGTGTGTGTGTGTGTGTGTGTGTGTGTGTGTGTGTGTGTGTGTGTGTGTGTGTGTGTGTGTGTGTGTGTGTGTGTGTGTGTGTGTGTGTGTAGAGAGGTGACTTATGTGTCCCTGTCCTCCTTAGGAGCCATCTGACCGCAGGACGGCCCTTGGTTCAAGGACACACACCTACTGACAGTGTGCGTGTGTGTGTGTGTGTGTGTGTGTGTGTGTGTGTGTGTGTGTGTGTGTGTGTGTGTGTGTGTGTGTGTGTGTGTGTGTGTGTGTGTGTGTGTCACTGACTGAACAATAAAAGAGTAGATGGGAGATGAAGGAAGGAGCACTTAAAGAACACTTTACTTTTCTCTTTAATGTGCCTTTGCTTGACCTAAAACTGCCTTGAAGACTCAATTTCCCAGAATGCCTTTCTCACAGTCACTCGAAGATGCCTTTGCATTGGTTGATTCCAGGTGAGGTGGAAATATGGGTGTTTTAACAGTTAAAGAGGTTTCAAATCAAATAACAATGATGTAAACACTTAATTTATTTTCAGATAAATTAGTGATTTAGAACTCAGAGAATATTCCATTTATTTTCACAATAATTGTGAGCTTTTCTCTTTCATTTCAAAGTTATTCCTCACAATAATACCCACCACTTGTTTCACTTTTGAAATGTCTTGATTTATAATGGCCTTAAACAAAGAATTTGAGGCTTACACTATTTGATGGGGAACACGTGGTATGATATAACACGTAATAACGGGTCTACAGACTCAATATCATCCCCCGTCTCATCACTATGACCTCTCCCAGTGTCAGTGTATTCTCTTCTCGTAAGTCCTGATGAATTCTCCTTCACACCCTTCCGTGACCCCATAATGTTTTTTTAACTGAAGGGAAGTGGTTACAAAACGACAAAGGAACTGATTTTTTGGACAATTCCAGCGAAGCTCATGTTTCCCCTCTGATTTTGTAGGTGATAGGTTTTATGGTTCTGCATCCTCAACACCTTCATCAGGACTCTAGATTTGCAGGCGGCCCTTAGTGGAGGTGACTCTGCTTCATCACTAACCCCGCAGCCCAGCCTCGGGTCAAATATTGATCCATCAGTTCATTGAGATCGTTTATCTTCCCGCAGGCCTCCCTCGCTGACCCCCCCCACTTCGTAACGCTTTGATTGATCGCCACCTGATCGCTAACGGCAGTGATTTCCCATCAGTCACTCAATTACCGGAGTGGACAGGTCACGCTCTTTTTTTTTTACGAGACATTAGGACGGGTCAACAGCAGAGGGAACACTCAGAGCTGCAGAATCTGGATTTCTGTCTGGATTCAAATCAGGCATTTTTTGTGTAAAGTGGGTTTAATTTTTAGTCTTGAGCTTTGTTTTTATGGATCAAAATAGAAATAACAAATGCACAGCCCTCGTCAGGTGACTGCATGAAAGGCATTTTAGGAAAGGTGATCCTTTGAGGAAGTTTCAGGGTAAACAATGGCATTAAAAGGAAAGTATGCATTTTATAATTTATAATTTAATAAAAAATCTGATATTTTGTCTATAAAAGTATACATAGGCTATAGAGATGATTCAACTCATGGGAGGCAATATTAAAATCAACTCTTCAGAAGTAAAAGCAAGAAAAATATAATTTTAAGAGTCATTTTAACTATATATAAATATAAAGAGTCATTATTCAAAGGACTATTTTTGGTGACACTCTCAAACTCTCTCAAACTCAGTCCTGAGGACTTCGATCTTCCAGATTGTACCACCAAGATTTTAGAGTTAAGAATAGTGGTGCATTCAAGGACATGTAAGCGTTGCAGCCGAAATGATTGTGTTGTAATTTAACAGGGGCCAATAAATCTTCAAACTGCATCGTCAACCCCCCGGGGAGGTGCGTTTTTAATGGAGGGTCAAACTACACCCATCAAACCTCCGCCCACACAGGACACCCTGCCAAAAAAAGAGATTTAATTTTAGGCAAGCGGGTTGAACCGGGTTCAAATCCCACCGAGGTCACGGTGCTGTTTAACTCCAATTACTCAACAGAAAGTGACCTAACTTTGATCAATACACCGACACTTTGGAACCAGAGAAGTTATATTTTGGACAAATATGAGATTAAGAGTATATGTCCAGATTTGTAGAAAAATCTAGTGAAAAGTCATCTTTCTGACGTGCATTACGTTGATAAATGTCAACAATATAGAAAAGAAATATGTACTTTGATCACAGCGAGGCTTATTTTGCCAGCTCGGACTTATAAAGTTTGTAAGCGAAATACAACGGCTGAAGTTTTCTTTCGGACTGACAGCACAATGAGACAAACTTCTGCGGTTTCTCCTGACTTTGCAGAAGTGTCAGAATTTAACAAACACTCTGACGTCAACCTCCCGCTGCAGAGACCGCCATCTATTAGTCTTTATATTTAATTCCTCAGCCATAATCCCATCACTACAACACAGGAGTGTCCTGCCCTCTGATATATTACACTGCGTTTCTGCTGTGCAGCTCGTTTCCTGCACAGATGTTTCACATTAAAAGCCTTCCAGCAGCTCATGTTGCGTAATTGCTCCCCTCAGAAGTGTTGAATGTGATGTATGTTAAGAACTACATATAACAAACGTCAGCCATTCATTTTGACTTAATCAAGAGGCATTTTGCACCAATTTGTATGCATGATTTATTTAGTTTTGTTTCCTAAAATCAGTCATTAATGTGCTCAGTGAATTCATGTTGAGCCTTTATCTTTCTTTTTCAAATGTAATTTGGAAAATGCAGGCATGTCACTAAGAGAAAACCTTTTATTTTCTATTAAAACGATGAGTTAAGTGATCATATTTGCCCATTTTTGTTTCTTGTTGAATATTTAAATTTTTTCTCCTAGTATAAATATATCCATGTGTATTTTGAACTCAAGTATTATAGTACTCATAAATATGGGTGAATACCTTGTAATCTCATCATTTACAGAATGGAGCAAAAGTTATCAAAATATGTTGTGAAATATGGTGATGATGTATTAGGTAACAATTTGTATTGATGATACCTAAATAAAACTCGGCCAAATAATATTCAACAAATATCAGTGAATGAGAACAGCATTTTTGACTTTTTTAAGATCCAACCATTTTTTAAGTATTAATGTTTATGAGACATTTTCTGTAGTTAGACTGCCTTGCCAATTTTAGTTGTGAACTTTGGATTAAAGATCCTATATACAATGATGTAGTATTTGTTTTTGACCAACGCAGTGCTTTTTAATTTCACGTAGGCTTTTTTGTATTTCAAAATAATCTAAAACAGATGTTCTCCATCTCTAATCGCATAACAGAGGTTGAGGAAGCACACTAAAACACTTGTCATTGGAGTGAATGAGAAGTCAAGAGTTTGTGTATTATTGGAGTGTGTGCGTGTGTGTGTGTGTGTGTGTGTGTGTGTGTGTGTGTGTGTGTGTGTGTGTGTGTGTGTGTGTGTGTGTGTGTGTGTGTGCTTGACTCACGCCATGACAATGACGCTGAAATCGAGCCAGTTCCAGGGGTCCCTCAGGAAGGTGAAGGGCCCCACGCAGAACCCCCTCGCCAGGATCTTTATCAACGACTCGAAGGTGTAGATACCTGTGAAGGTGTACCTGGAGGGGAGTGAAAACAGGAAGGTGGTAAAGACGGAGATAGAAATGGGAAGTGACATATTTGTTAGGGAAGAGGGTTTAGATGGAAAGGAAAAAGAGGAATGGTAGAATAGCAAATGAAGTGGAAAAGGAGGTAGAGTGAGATGAGGAAGTAAAAGAGAATGAGAAAGTGGAAGCCAGAGGGGATTTAAGGTCAGAAAGGTGGAAGAAGAGAATAAAACAAAATATATATATAATAGATGAGAATGTAGAGAGGAAGAAGAGAAGAGGATGCAACAGGGAGTAAAACGTTAAGATGAGATGTTGGAAGTAAAAGAGGAAGTAGACAGGACACAAAGAGGAAACAGGTGGAGAGGGAAATGACAAATGTTAGGGATGAAAATTTAGAAAGAGAAGAACAAAGACAAGAAAAGAGGGAGTCAAGAAAGACAAGAGGAAGCCAATAAATATATTCATAAAATGAGCAGAACTCTCAACCAGAAATCCTTGACTTATTTATTTTGTCCCCAGAAACAAGTTTGAACCGACAGGAAGTGAAGCGTACGGAGACAGACAGCGAGGAAGGAGGCACGTCACAGAGAAGAAATGTCTTGTGAAAAACTAACCCAACATGAAGAATGATTTAGACTTTCCCTCTCAAAATGTTTGGATATGTGTCTGCAATATAAACCTTTTTTTTTTTCAATGGGAAATGTTTTCTACACATTAGGTTTTATGTGATCAATAAGAGAACCTAAATAGTTCTTCTGAGTATGATGATGATAGTATAAAACTCATCTCTTTCGACTCCACTTCGAGCAATAAAATGACTAACAGAGCACTTAACAAAGGACTGGCTTATCTAAAGCTAGTTGAGTAGCACTTGAAATGTTTTGGCTCTATGAAACCTGAGGTACTCAAGTTTGTATCTTCTTGGTCGAATGCACTTATTGTAATTCGCTTTGGATAAAAGTGTCAGCTAAATGCAATGCAATGTAATGTAATGTAATGTCAATGGAAAAACTAAAAACAGTTTGTTAGCAACAGTGACAGAAAGATGGAAAATCTTCATATACTAAAGGTGAGATACTGGCTAAATCTTGATCGTCACAGTATGAACAAGAGGGAAAAAGGCTGCTGAAAAAACATTTGTTGCGACTTTACTCCCATTAAAAACGAATTTGGTGCATTCACAGGCAGACAGACAGACAGACAGACAGACAGACAGACAGGCAGACAGACAGGTAGACAGGCAGACAGACAGGCATGCAGACAGGCAGACAGACAGACAGACAGGCAGACATACAAACAGCGCAGACAGACAGACACAGACACAGGCAGACAGACAGGCAGACAGACAGACAGGCAGACAGACAGACAGACAGACAGACAGGCAGGCAGACAGACAGACAGGCAGACAGACAGACACAGACAGGCAGGCAGACAGACAGACAGGCAGACAGACAGACAGACAGACAGGCAGGCAGGCAGACAGACAGACAGACAGACAGACAGACAGACAGACAGACAGACAGACAGACAGACAGACAGACAGACAGGCAGGCAGACAGACAGACAGACAGACAGACAGACAGACAGACAGACAGACAGACAGACAGACAGACAGACAGACAGACAGACAGGTGTACTTACTCCAGGTACTTGGCCCAGTACGCCGGTTCTGACATGGCCATGAAGCAGCAGTTGGTCAGGATGGTGCACATGATGAACAGACTGAATAATGTGAAGCAGGTCAAGGAAGAAAAAACTATTTATATCATACATGTTCATGATAGAAATAAAAAGAAACATCATCTGCATCATGAATTCTTTCCTAATTTGGGAAAAAAGCCTGGTCATTTTGCAAAGGCACGTCATGTTTGCAGCTATGAAACACTGTGTCCTTGATTCATTTATATTTCACTCTCTTTTATTGAACATGTTGCTTTAACTTTATTGTATCATTGTGTTGCTCATTATTAACTTAACTTCTCATGTTTGTTTAATATTCAATATATTTTATATTATTATTTTTATTTTGGTCTAAAATGGAATAACAAAATCCAATTTCCCTCAGGATACATAAAGTATTCAGATTCTGAATTAGGTTTGACTAAAGATTAGATATTATAATGAATGAACTTGTAATTTGACAACCGTAAATAAATACAAGTTGTGTTTGTATCTGCTTTTGTGAAATTTGAATAAAAGGGAAGTAATGTGACTTCTTCCATTAAGGTTTCTGACTCTGTTGCCCAGAAATAAAAACATTATTGTTGAGTGAAAAATAGTTTTTACAGCTTGTTGGCTCGCAGGTCTGTGGAGTTTAGCAGAGAAGTGCCAGAAAGATAATTAGAAAGTCAATTTGGTGTTCTTTTCGGTGATAAACGCTCTTACTCACTGCGGAAAAGGGCACGGAGCCAAATGTAAAAATGTAAATGTCCTCAGTGTAACGTTGGCGAAGCTTTTAGGACTTCTTCCCTCAGTGAGTGCCAGCTAAATGTTATATAGTAATGGAAGTTTAGAAACATCTGCCTTTGAAGGGATTTGACATGTGCTTCCTTTTGATTTGAGATACTTCCATCTGATTTCCCATTAGAGGCATCATAGAGAGGAAGTGAACTGTGTGTTTTTCCACATGCATGACCGAATACCAAATCCAATAAAGCAAATTAATATGCCATTAACAGCATGCACAATGTCCGCAGGGAAGACATAAAGGGAAGTGAACTTAAAATGGGTGAAGACTTTGGCACATTTTACTATAAGTATTGTTTTAAAATAAATACCTTTTTCCACATTATTACATTACTTTATTTGATATGATGTTTTGGATTAAGTGTACCCTCTGGATAAAGTGATTCAGATACTTTCAAAAATATTAATAATAATCCTCATCATTAATATGTTTAAAAGTACATTTGAGTCATTTTTAATAAACTTACATGCAAGATCTTAAAGAGATCAAAATCCTTGCTGCAAGTAGTTATTTCTTATAATAATAATTTGTTGTTATTTGAGATAATAAACCATTCTTCTAAATGTGATATCCCAGAAAAGCATAGAAAACGTTTTTTTAACTCGAGAACTTCACTAATTATAATTTCCCCTACTGTATATGACCTATATAGAGTGTTGAAGGAATGAGACCTAAACCCTGTGATGAGTCAACATTTTAGCACTTCCTGTTCCCTCGTATGGAAGTCAATGTTTTTTATGAACATGTTGAAAGGGCTTGCTAACAGATGTCTTATCGAACATTAGCCGCCTTTACCTTAGCAACGTGGGAAGAAGGAGGCATAAAAGCAAAAGACCTTAATTCTGGTTTCTCACATTTTTTCAAATTGTGAGAAAGTCAGATCTGAGGTTCCCAAATGATTTGAGAGCCCTGGTGTAGATGAAGTGATTTATGGGTCATGTATTGTGAAACGGTAACTTTTTCAAAGTGTCAGAAGGCAGCGCTACATGTTAAGTATCACCTTTACACACATGATGTGGGAGAGCCCTCGCTCTGATGTCAATCAAAGTTATAAATGAATCTTAATTATTGTAATTTGGCAGCAGGAACACACTCCAAACTCCAGCTGAAAGTTGTTCGAGTCGCGGGGTAATTGTTGATTGAGTGCCGGCTGTAATGATGGCGAGGTAACAGGGTTAGCGATTGACAAACAACGCAAACGTCCCCCCGTGCCGCCGGGAGATAATTACCCTGTAATAACAGACCTGCTGTTATGGCCCTCCCAGGCCACCATACCGGTAATGTAATTACACCTCCCACACCCTCCGCGGGATCTTCCTCCCTCTTTCCACATCTCCCTCACCTCCATCACTCAATATTTTCTCTTTCTGAGCATTGAATTACTTTTCTGTTCTAATTAAAGCCAACACTGTAACCAATGCTCTTATTTCGAAAGAATAGTATCCCGAGTCATTTTGTGTTCACTCTAAGTATAAAATATTTTCATGACTGATCAAAATGCCAATTATGTTATCATTAATTGAGTTGGTTCATATTCCCTTTATTAATCATGGGATACTGAGCCAACAGATATTAGTCTAAATATGTATTTCAATCTATAAATAATGCAAGATTTTCTATATGTTGTATAATTAAACTGAATTTTGTTTATTGCATGTAGTTTCCCAACATTTGCTGCAGACAGTTTGAAACACATTAAAGTAACTAGTAACAGAACTTACAATTCTATTATAGTTTGCATATCAATTAAATCAAAACTTCTCCTGGGCTTGAGAATCTGATTATTGAATAGCTATTGTTTACATGATCGTTAATCATCTTTATTTGTCATTACATTAATGTAATCCACTTCTCTTGGACTTCTCTCGACTTATAAATAACTGTTGATGTAAAAAAACAAAAGGTCAATAATCTTGTGCCAAAGCTGTAGTGCTTACACAATGTTTTTTAAACCACGAGACGCAGCTGGTGATTAACAGCTTCCTGGAGCAATGCCTCAAGGGAAACAAAGTCAAAGGGGTGTCCTCCAGAAGCAAAGCCCCATGGGATATGTAGTCAAACAGTGTTTTCTGTTAGAACAGTTTTAATAATGATTACCTACAGAGAAAACACACCCTTTGTTTGCAAGTGTGTGTGTGTGTGTGTGTGTGTGTGTGTGTGTGTGTGTGTGTGTGTGTGTGTGTGTGTGTGTGTGTGTGTGTGTGTGTGTTTGTTCTTTTCCTCTCATCTCATAATTGTACTCTGTTTTACTTTTATTTTAAATTATTATTTAAAGTTTTTTTATTTAATTATATTTTACTATATTAGAATATATAATATATTAGCTCTTTTATATTTAATCATTATTTCATTTATTTTGTATATTTTATTTTTATTTAGTTATTTTACTCTTTTTACTCTATTTCACTCCTCGTGTTATTATTCTTTCTTGCCTAATGAAACATATGTTCATATTTATTGTACATATTCCAGTTAACAACGTCTGTGTGTGTGTGTCCACCTCACACCCCGGCTTGTCATGGTGGCGCCACTGTGGTCGGGCATGAATCCAACAAACACTTGATCTCACACACACTTATAAAAACACTCAGACACACACTAAAACTCCACTTCACCACTGCAGCTTGTACCCTTACAACGACACACACTTGTCCTAAGTTTTGTTTTGACCACACACACTCAAACACACACATACATCAGCAGCGCCACACCTCCGCGGCGACCTCTCCCCCCTCTTATCCCCCGAAAACAGCAGCGTGTCCACCATTCGACGTCTCTCAACACCCGCCGCCTCCCCCGGTAAAAATAGACGAGTGTGATGTGAGGGGGGGAGGGAGGGGAGAGATATGAAGGGGGGCTGGTGTTGAGTTTTGGGTGTGAGGTCATATCTGTCAGGACGCCGGCGTGGCGTGGGACGGGGCGACTGGCAATAATCCTAACCTATAGACGACGTATATAAATACATTTATTCACATTCACCATTCATGTGTTGGACCTACTCCTTTTTTATACTTTAAAATTCTTATAATCAATGTGTTTCTTATTGCTGCTTTGACTCCTGTATTTCCTAAGAGAGATTATTAAGGCTTTATTTTATATTACCTTACATTTTCTTTTAATCTGGAAACTAATGTCACTTTGACCTCTTCACACGTGATCTTCTAATAAAAAGTTTTTAATGGCCGTATTTTAGATTATATTTGACATTGAGGTAAAAAAGAACTTGAATGGACAAGAAAGCGTACAAAAGTACATTAAAACATTTAAATATGAGCACAGCTGTCGTATAAAATAACATTCAGGGGCTTCATTTAAGAGTCTGATTTTGAAAATGATTTAGTAATACGAGTGTGAAGTGGAAGCAAATCACTTTTATCCAGAGGGCACACTGACTCAAAAGGGCTCAATTATCACATCAAAAAATTCTCATTCTAGAGAAAGGGTCCAATTTTAAAATAATACAATGCCTCAATTTCCACCACTTTTAAGGTTTTCTGCACTTGCTTCTTCTCACTGCACGTTAAGCATCAATGCCATTGCACACTTTTAAGGGACATTTTGGAAATAAAGCTTAAACAAAAGAGATTAAATCACATGTGAAATGATGATAACCTTGATAAAGATCTTGGGCCAGACAACCAACTTATTTTACTCGGATCACAATAAATGCACCGTAGTATAAACCCATGTATGTTTTCATATGCATTTGAAGAAACTGCAATTATTCAAAATGTTCCACCAGATATCAGTCTTCTAACACATTCAATCGAATGAACATGTTGTGTAATTGACCAACAGGTGTGTGAAAAACACAACAAACATACCTGTAAGAGGCAGTTGGTCAAAGTTCACGGGTGGAAATTCAGAGTGTGTGTGTGTTTGCTAGCATGTCTGTGTGGGTGTGTGGTGTGTGCAGGGGCCACCTTGATAGGAAATATTTACTGGTCATGTTTATAGCTGTCCAGACAGCTCAAGATGATATCTGACTCAGAAATACGACCGACGGAATGAGCCCTTAGACACACACACACACACACACACACACACACACACACACACACACACACACACACACACACACACACACACACACACACACACACACACACACACACACACACAGACACACACACGCACACACAGTTTACATGATTGGTAAACACACCGTCACCTCCAAATATGCCTGGAAAGCATCCTGCTATAGGAGCAGGTGTAAAATTGACAATTTAAAGCAAAAATCATATTCAAAATGTATTTAAATCTAGCATAAAATTGTAATGATGATTGATAAAGATCGTCGTTGCTAATGATAAAGATCTGTGTTGCTGGGAAATTGTATTGCAGTGTTCAGTCTTATATGATTTGATTTTTGTATCCAGCATCAGTAAATGTTTTCTAGAAATGTGTACTGTACCCTGCAACCTGGTTAACATTTTATCAATTTAAAATCAGCCACATTGTCATTAAACAGTCTGATATCAAAGTTTATGATAAGTGTATACCTTATGTAAGTGTTCAAATGTGTGATGAATGTTATGTAACCTACAGTATAATCAATGCAATTAATGTATTATGATCAAAATCACACTAATACCTTCTTGACTGCATTAGAATCCTCAATTATTGGAGGGAGAAAATAAGTTAATTTCACATCATTTTTTCTCACAACCTCTTCTCTTTTGGCTACTTGCCTTTTTTATGATGGAAATTCAGGAAGATAACTTATTCTCACAACTTCTCATTTGTCATTGTATTTATTATGTTTGCCATCAAAGCAATTCATTGATCTTCATGCCAGCTGAACGTAATCAGGTTAATGTAATGGAGTTCAGATATATCGAATGGGTCACTACACATTAATAACCATGTAATACTGTACCCCAAAAAACGAAAAATTCAAGAAAAATATAAAGACTAAAGCCAGTATGAATTTAAATAAATATTTTGCATCATCCAACAACATTATTATTATTATACGGAAGAGGATTAGGGTGAAGAAAAAAAAACTGACTTTAATCTCAGAATTCTGACTTTTTTTCTCAGAACAAAAAAAAACATTTTTTTCATGTGGCCCTAATCCTCATCCGTATTATTATTACTATATATATATATATATATATATATATATATACAGTGGGGCACAAAAGTATTTAGTCAGCCACCAATTGTGCAAGTTCTCCCACTTAAAAAGATGAGAGGCCTGTAATTTTCATCCTAGGTACACTTCAACTATGAGAGACAGAATGGGGGGAAACATTCCAGGAAATCACATTCCTTTAATTTTTAATGAATTAAT